AGCGAAGATTAATCCCAAATTAGCTTTAACCCACTGTGCAAGCAATCAAGAGACATAACACTCAAGAAAGAAAGAATAGAGAGTGGCTCAAAACCTCACACAGGGTAAATCTGTCACTTCCAAATCAACCTCTCAAACCTTAAAATCCACTTGACATGAAAAGAAGAACAAGGATTTCAATCCATAGAATATCAAACAGCTCATATCTAAGAGTGAAGAAAGTTCCCAAAACCTAAACAAAACCCAGAAATCCAAGAGAAAAATATGCAAAATTGTACACAAAACATAGAATAAAAACCTACAATCCTACATCTCCCACCCCACACTTAAATTAGACATTTTCCTCAATGTAAACACAATCATATCCATTAAGCAAGATAAAATAGTGGAAGGGGAAAGAAGAACTCCCTGATCATGGTGGATCCCAGATCTATCTCCTCAGATGGTACAGGTGTTGAGGCCATCAAGTAGCAACTTTGTTAAGCTAAAACAAACAAAGTCTTCCTGATCATGGTGGGTCCTAGATTTATCTCCTCAGATGGTACAGGTGTTGAGGCCATCAAGTAGCAACTTTGTTCATCTAAAACAAAGAACTTCTTCATTAAGCTGGAAAGAGGCAATGTCACCTTCTTTTTCACCTCATCAAGAATGGTAGGATTCATCTTTTGTTGGGGCTTTCTCACAGGCCTGCAATCATCTTCCAGCAAGATTTTGTGCATGCAAATAGTAGGGTTGATCCTAGTGAGGACATCTAAGGACCAACCGAATGCTTTGTTGCACTCTTTTAAGACCTTTAACAATCTTCCTTCTTGATCAGGGAGGAGATCACTAGATATGATCACAAGTAGCTTTTCAGACTCCTCTAAATAAGCATACTTTGAATGGGATGGAAGTGGTTTCAGATCTAACTCCTCTGGTTTCTACTATGGTGCACTTACTTCACTTGCTTTAGCAGTTGTCTGCGTTCCTACAAAAGATTCAATATTATCACTAATTTTCTTATAGATGACACAACTTCCATCCGTACAATCACATTCAGACAACTCTTCTTGGCTTAAATTCAGAGATTCTAATGGCTTATCAAGGTCAAAATTAACTCCTACATCCAGCTCTTCATCCTCTCGGCCTTCATCTGAGCAGGCGTCTGTTAAGAATAACTCTCCCTCACTGAGCAAAGATGTGTCAGGGTTCTGCTGCTCTATTTGAACTTTCTTGGTCACTTCTCAGAGTAATTGCATGTACATTCTCATTAGGATTAATCACTCTTTGTGCGGGAAGTGCATTCATACCTTGCTGTAGTGAATTCATGGTATTCCCAACTTGGGTTTCCAAGTCATTGAAGCATTGTTTTAGTTGTGTGTTCTGTGTTATCATTTGTTGTCTGGGTTTCTTCAATAGATCTTCTAGTGTAGGCCAAGAGTTACCCTGTTGCATAATACCACTTGGGCTTTGATGTATTAGCATAAGGTGTGGATTCGCCTGTTGTCCCAATGAGGTAGATTGATACTCTTGTTGTTGGTAAATGCCTTGGTTGCTTGATTGGAAATGAATCTCTAGTGGCTGGTTGAAGATAGGATCATATTCCAAATTTGGATGGTCTCTCCAGCTAGAATTATATGTGCCCAAGTATGGGTAGTACTCCTGTTGTGGACTGTATGAATATAATTGCTCGTAATGTTGTTGTTCAGAGAATATATTGCCCATTGTTTTACTAATTAAGCTTGATGTCTCCTGGAGTTAACGGCATACATCAATGGGATGATGTACGGAGGTGCATATCCCACATACATATTGTTGTTGTTGAAATGTGTGGTGATTTATAACCAATTGTTGTACCACAGATGTTAGCTCATCCAATTTCCTTTGAAGGTTCATATCCTCAAAATCACTTGTTTACTGGAATGGCAACGGTAGACCGTGAACAAGTATACCAGGTAGGTTCCCAGGAAAAAGAGGTAGGTCACTAATGGACACACTTAAGTACCAAGTCTTTCATAGCTAGAACCCTCCTAGACATGCACTCTCACATTGCCAAACTATATCCAAAATTTCCTATGAGAATGGTTTTCAAGAATTTTCTTGCAAGGATGACTTATAAAAAATTTCCTACAAGAATGGTTAAAGAGCACACAAGAACAAATTATAATAATTTTTTTTTAATTTTCTTTTAAATAAAGCTAGAAAAACAAATTAAAAAAATTTTGAATTTTGAAAATTTTTTTTATAAACCTAAAAGAAATTGATTTTTTTTTTCAAAAGAGTTTTTGAAGGAACCCAATAGTGAGTTATCAAAATAGCATTGAGAGAAGTAAGAATGTTAAATTAAACAAGCAGATCAAATAAAATATTCAAATAATTAAAAATCAAATAATCAAATAACTACAATAAAAAATAAAATATTCAAATAACTGAAAATAAAATAAAATATTCAAATAACTAAAAATAAAATAAAATATTCAAATAAGAACCCAATTATATACTTATGGTAAAAAAATTTCCAACGCACCGCTTATAGGGGTTTGAATAAGAGAAATTAAAGCTAGAAAAAACAACTTAGAGAAAAAAATTTGAATTTGAATTTTTTTTTAATTAAATTAAATTAGGGTTGAATACCCCCTATGAACAAATCAAAGGATGAATAGAGAAACATACTTCTCAAGAAATAGTGCCCACAAAATAAAACTATTAGTTTGTAGGCTAAGAAATTAAGATCCACCACCTAACCCCACACAGGATGAATGCTTAACAGTTCCCACACAAGAAATTCCAAATGACAATCAATAAAATAAGAATAGTTACCCTGATGTCCTTGATATCCTTAATTCATCTTGATGTCCTGAATTAATGTTTGCTTTTGGCCAACCCAAATGACACAAAATATGAAAATTGAAAATTAAAAAAAAATATTCAAATAACTGAAAATAAAATAAAATAAAAATAGAAAATAAAAATAGAAACAGAAAATAAAAACTGAAAACCTAGACAGAAATCTTGGTCCTTGGCAACGACGCCAAATTTAATTGATGTCGTACTCGGTCAAATAATTAAAATAGATAAATGTAGTACTAGGAAGCTTTCTTAGGTCGTCTCCCAAATACTACGGATTTCTATCAAAGCTTGTCAATTTTTCGAATTAGAATAACAACAAAAAGAGGGAATTTTCATATTTAAAATATTAGATAAAACAGAACAAAAACAAATTATAAAAATGCAGATTAAAAATATATTAGAATGCAATTGATTTCCTAATTCCAATGCAGTTTCACTTATCCTAGGTTATGAAATTGATTCGAAATTAACCAACTAAGCAAAGATAAATCCCAAATTATATTCCAATCCAAAATTAATCAACTAAGCAAAGATTAATCCCAAATTAGTTTTAACCCTTATTCTAATATGAAATTAACCAACTAAGCGAAGATTAACCCCAAATTATCCTTATACAATTAAGCATTGCATACATCATATAATCTCATCTCTAACACAGAATTAAGCAAACTGTGATATTAATTTCGGTTTATTAAACATAAACATATTATAATTCAACACTAAGATTAAGAGATGAAGAGTTAAGAGAACAAACAAAATAGAAGAACAAAACCTCAAAGATCTACTGCATTCTCCTCAGAAAATCAATATAAAGATTTAGCTATCCATGAAAAATCGAAAACGCAAAAGAAGAGACATAATTAAAATTGAAACAAGAATTTAAAATAATAACAGAAGAGTAAACAAACTTGAATACAAAATGCAGAAGATAAAAGACAGTTGTGTGATGTCATTCCCCCTTAACCCTACATCTCTAACACATAAATAACCCTAACTCTAATCTTAATCTAGATTTTAGGCTCAACTAGTCCACAAAACACATCATAAGTTGGCTTCAGTGCAGGTCTGCCAACTTCAAACACGTGGAGTATTTTCAATACTTATCCAAATTAAGCGATTCTGGTATCATTTGAAAGCCTTTTGAGTTAGCTTTAAAATGACACTATTTCTACTATTTTCAGAGGTCTAATGAATTTTGGAGACTTAAATTACTAAAATATGTCTATTGGGCCGGTCTGGTACGCTTGACCTGTTTTGGATAATTTATGTAAAATCCAATTTAGCTTTGAATTGAATGGTTCTAGATTCTCTGGAAAGGTGAATGTGTCTAGTTTATATTGTTTCCAAAATCATGATTTTTGGAGTTCTATAGAAAAAATGATAAATAAAATAGTGAACTAATATTAGTTCCCGTATAAAATAAAATATGACATTGGTCCAATCTTCCAAACTCAAAATTACTTTGAACTATATTGAAAATAATAATGAACAAAAATTAGATCAAATAGATCCAAATTAATTAAAATTTAAACTATTGGCCCAATGAAACCCAATTAATAAAAATTCACTAATAATAGAAAGTTAAGCTCAAAATACTAATTAAAATAAAAATAAAAAAATAAGAAAATATGATAATATAATTACTTGTTAAATGTCTGTAGTTAAGAGACCATGTCTAAATACTTATAAATTAATCATATACCTCATTGTAAAAATACATCAAATAATAATATAGGGAATGTTTTATTTAGATTCTTATTTGTCAACGGATAAATGGCCGCATGGGGAAATTTTCAAAAGATAAATTATTGCATGAAACAATCATCACACAATGCAACAACAATGATTGTGTCAAGTTCTTCGATCATTTCAGGTTCAACTGATAAATATGATATTTAGAAGACGAGGGAAAACACGAATTGCCATACTTTGATCATGCATGCAAACATAAACTTGATGAGTCCAGAGACATTTTCAAACTAAGAAGCACTTGATAAAAACTAAAGAAGTGCCAAAGCCTCTATTACACAATATTCACATAACCAGTTATTGAAAACATTGACTGTGGATATTCAACACAAAAGGTGACTATTACACCAAAACATAACTATAAATATGAGAACAAACAGATTCTGCTTCTGTCCACTAGTTGTGCCCCGTAGAAGATTTGGTTACATACGTGATATCTGAATTGGGATAGACAAGGAAGCCTCTTCTCCCATCACTGGCTGGAACAAATCAAGCTCTCCATATCGCTCCAGCACCCGCATCCGGCAATCTTCTGCTGCCATTATTCCGGTGGAGAATGCCCCATGAACAGACCCTGGATAGCTCATACTTGTTGCTTCCCCTGCAAAGAACAAGTTATCCACTGGGACTCGTAGCCTCTCAAATAGTTCATGGGGTTGCCCTACAGCATCATAGCTATAGGAACCTAGTGAATTTATGTCTGAGCCCCACCGAGAAACAAGATACTGAATCTGCAGAGTAGCAACAAATTACAAATTAAAATACATAGACAATAATTTTCATCTCAATTAAGTATTGAATGACAAGCCAATATAGAACGACCGAATAAAAACAAAAGGAAGGACTGATAGATTATGCTTTATGTAGAAGCATTTATTTCTTTTATATTGCTAAAAGTGTGACTAGTAAAAAGCAAAACTAATATGGCTACCGGTGAAGAAGCATCTGGAAGAATCTTCTGAAGCTGCATGAAAGCGAAGTTGGCAGCTGCTTCATCAGACATCTTTTCAATGTCTTTGGCAAGCCGCCCAGAAGGCATGTAAACAAGGACAGGATGACCTGCGGCCTTGTGGAGATTTAGGAAGTAGCTGCATCCATAAGACGTATCTGCAACTACTCCCAAGAACTCCACATTAGGCCAAAACACATTTTCAAAGTGTAAGATGATTTTGTTCTCAAGTCCAATCCCAAGATCAGCAATGGCAGCTTCCTTCCAATCAGGGAGTTTTGGTTCAAACAGTATTCTCTTTGCTTTCAGCACCCCAAGTGGAACAGCAATAATGGCAGCATCAGCAAAAAATGTTTTCCCCTTTTCCACTGTTACCTTTACTCCATTATATCGCCTAACTACTTTTGTCACCCTGAAAAAGGGGCATTACCAAGGCCAGTGAATTAGCTACACAAAATAGTACATAAAATCTAAAATAACAATTAAAAAAGGATCTACCTGTGCCCCAAGCGAATATCAAGACCCTTGGCTAAGGTATTTATAACAGGCAAGTAGCCCCGGACCATTAGACCATGACCACCAGGGAGCAGCACCTCCTGTAAGTACACAACAGAAGTAATTAAGAAGAAGAAGAAAAGAAAAAAAAAAAAAAAAAAGCTTACGTGTTAGTTAAGAAGTTACATCTAAGATGCTATAATTAGGGTCAAAATGTTTGTGTATGTATAATATGGATTATTTTTTAACAAACTTTATGATAAGCCGGTGCAAAGTGCATGACAATTTTGAACCCTACATCCCATAAAGGTAGAGACCTCCTTTTCAAAATCATGCAATATGATGGTAAATTCAGATGATAGAGGATTCCTACACATCCCACTCCAACCAACTAACAGAAAAGCCCCACCAATTCATAGTGGAGGAAGAACATTAAAATAATGATTGTAGTATTTACCAAGTTGACATTTGTTTCAAATCTTAGGCAGCCGTCATTCGTTTGATTATATATGATGCAATTTGCCTAAGATTGACTTATTAAGGTACAAAAGGGTTTCAATCAGAAACATACTCCTATATGTAGATCAGGAAACACATTTTCATGATTATCGGTCATAGAAAGGCTGCATGTTGAAGACTCATGCACCTGGCTATGAGACGACTTTACAAACTATTTCTTTCACTGCCTGTATGTAAGACCAAAGAGAATAGATCATTCAGTGTGTAAATTGGGGTGGGTGGAAGGGTGGGGGGATTTGGAACTAGACCGCTAATACAAATAAAATATTTTCAACTTGATTTGTTGAAATTACCTGGTCCCATCCTTTCAGTGAAATAGTATCAGAATCTGCAGCAAACCAACCCTCCATTCTGCACAAATACCACTGAAGCACCTTATGAGCAAGCCCCTCCAACCTGGATTCAAGAGATGAAGAAACGTTATCAATTATTAGGCCTAAAAGAGTAATAATGGTGCCAAAGAAATTATTTTGTATGTCCATAATAACCTTAATTCAGGCTTCCTATCAAAAACAATTGAAAGACCATGAAGTACGGACATGTCTTCACTGATTTCTTCTCTTATTTTATTTGTCTGCATTTAGTCATGAAGTGATCGTTTAGAAATGCAATTTGTGCCTAAAAAATATATTTTAACTATGATGTAGAGTTTATTGGGTAAAATATAAGGAGGAAAATTAATAAACAAATGACTTACCTCCTCTAAAATTGTCTCAAATATTCCACCAACTTTGGTTACCAACTCTTGGGGAACCTGATTCCCATCCGTATCAAAAAGTGCATAGCTGCAAATGATTTTCAATAAAAAAAAGTAGTCTATTGTAATTTCCACCATGCAGAGTGACCAGAAAATATATTAAGTAAGTTGCAAAAATCATTTGAAATCAATGATCATAAATATTAATAAATTAGCTCGATAATATTAATAAATAATGAAAGTCTATATACTTACCTCTCTAAATCATGGTCATAAAGTACGGAGTTATCTCCACTCGTACGATAAAGGGGTAGTCCCAGCCTCCCAATCACCGAAGCCAGTGGGTTTTCCTTGGAAACTCCATGCAACCTGAGAAGTATGTAACTTTTATTGCTACAACATGAAAAAAATAATGGACAAATTTCTGCATTCTCATAAAGACATAAACATGATAAATTCATCAGAAAATAAGCTACCATGATGCTCCCAGGTCAACAGGAAAACCAAACGAGTAGTCAGTGTGAATTCGGCCACCAATTCTTTCCCTTGACTCTAAGAGAACAACCTAACAAAAATTAAACACTATTTAGTCCCAAACTCTGAAAATGCATATTAATAATTTGCCTATGGCTACACAAACATGAACACAATAATACACAATAATACGTAAAGACACGATTTCTGTCTGGTTCATCAAAATAAAAGAGAAAATGTGTGCCCAACTCATTAGCTGCTTGCGTGCCTTTCGTGAAATTTGGTTCACCTAAATATGCAAAAGCAGCACAATTCTAAAATACCAAGTATCACCCAGGACCCTTCCCCGGAACCATTACTAGCTTCTATTCAACCAAGCTCACCCACAAATGTCCTATAAATTGACACAAAGCAGGGGGAAATCATAATCATGGATTGACCCACCAATTTTTTTCAGTGAAATAGAATGCAACCTACTTCAACCTATAGGAAAACGCTGAACAACTATCGGCTTTGCCCTCAAGATTTAGGTAGAATAACTCAGTTCGTGCACTTAACAAAATTTAGATGCAGTTCTTTAAATACTTTCGCTACTGTTCTCCAATCAAGACAGAGTTTCATCTAAGGACTTCAAGTAACAAAAATTTGCGTTAAAGTTTAACATGGATTAGCAGAAATAAGACTCCAATTGGGATTGGAGATAAGGACCAAAAGTACCTATAAAACTGCATTCAATTTTTGTCCTAAAAAGAATTGTTTTACATTAGAGTAGCATATGCAAATTTAACAAATATTCTTAAAAATTAATATAGCTAAACTAGCATAGAGTGGTTACCTGAAACGAAGCGTCATGGAGTGCACGTGCAGCAGCAACCCCAGCCATGCCACCACCAACAACAATAACAGATGGTGACCTCCCCTCCTGCTTATCGTTTCCATAGCAAAGAGCTACAAGAAAAGAGTAAAAACAAAGAAAATATCAACGATCGATCCATGACATTAATTTCATTTTGAAATTATTCCCTCAATTTCTAAGATGCCAGAATGATCATGGGTGTATTTTTCTCGTTACCTCTTCTCATTACGTTATCTCTATCTTATCTTATAATTTTCTCTATCCTCATACGAACGTTTCATTTGTCCTATCTTACTGTAAGTAAGATACTTATCAAAATATATGGTAGAAAAAAAGTTTAAAATCATTTCTAAAAGTAATTTCCTTACCTTACCAAAAAGCATTCATAGTTTCACTTTCTAAAAACACACTCAACAGTTCACAAACTGCAATAGCGTAACTGAGATCTGGTGTATACTATAAAAATAAGAGAAATATTTATTTAACAACCGTTATGAAATACAATTAAATCAAAACTCATTATATTAATATAATAGTATTATTATTATATTAATATTTTTTAAGTTATATTGATAGTCTATTAATCACCCCTCTAAAAATAATTTAATAGATATTGTGCATCATGTAAGTCTAAAATTTAACCAATAAAATTAACAATTTTATAAATAATTAAAAGACAATATGATATAAAAATTAAATCATGTTTCTTAATTTAACGTATAATATATATATATATATATATATATATATATATATATTTTTTTTCCGGTGTGCACCATGTGAGTCTAAAGATATTTATTACAACAGTTAATAATTTCTTACTAAAAGAAGCTAAAATAATTTGTGTAAAATTAAAACAGATTAAAATGTGTACATACAGAAAGAGAAATTAAAATAAATGATTATTAAATATAAGAAAAAAATGTTCAACTATCAAAATTAAATGAATATTTAACTATAAATATTGCATTTCAATTACTCAATTAGAAGAAAAATAATAAAATTTGAAAACGTTTCTTATCAGAATAATTATTATTCCAACATTTTTTCCTCTCATAGACAAAAATGACGACTAGTATTTGTATTTATTTTAAAATTCTAAATTGTGTCTTAAAAACTATTAGTCTTCTTGAAATAAAATACAGAAATTTCATTTTTCCAAATAGTTTTGAAAAAAATAAAATGCAGAAATTATTTTTTTCCAAAAATATTTTTAAAAGCTTTATTATAACTAGGTTAATTTACTTTTAAGTATAAAATAAATTATCGAAAAAAAGTACAGGCCCCGTCTGGTAGACGAACACGTGTTTTCCACTGTTACTGACTCAAACTTTTTCATTTCACAAATAAAAGCGCAACACGAATTAAAATATTAAAAACTTCTTTTCGTTCCTCATCACAGCTACTATTATTAAATAAAATCACACGAACACGCAGTCACCACCGACATTTGAAAAAAGCACAGAATAATTTAAAAAATTAAGAAACGGAAAACGCGTTCAAAAGCAAACCTCTGGTTAATTGAGGACTACGCTTAGTTCTCGACTCCATGATCAGAACAAAAATTGAGATTATTGTTAGTGAACAATTCGGCGTCGAAATTCGAGGTGAATGAGAGCGATTGTGGCGAGAAATGGAGGAAGAAAATCAGCAAACACGTAACGAAGTGATTGGAGTTCAAGTTTGAAGACGATGAATCCAGCTTCACGAACCAGTTCATGCAGCTAGAGCCACGATATCGAACGGAGTTTCCGCGAAAAAATCGAATCGACTATGCGGAATGTTCTGGAAGCTCAACAGATTTTCCGAGAAAGAGAGAGAAACGAAAAAGAAAGATGAGTGAGAGAGAGAGAGAGAGAGAGGGGATTTTAGAGAGAGAAAGTTGAGAGAGAGAGAGAGAGAGAGAGGGGATTTTAGAAAGAGAAAGTTGATTTGTGATATTCGGAAGGCAAGTCTCGTCCGAGATTTATAGAGTTAGTTGGTCACGTATGTAGCTCTTGTCAGCCAAACAACTCTGATTAGTTCACGCGCGGCTCAGCGCGTGACAGGACTTCCTATGGAAAGGGACACGTGGCTTGCATTTTTTAGTCATTTGCAACGCGAGAGGGGGTACTTTTGTTACGCGTCGGTTCCGGTTGCTAATGGATCAAAATCAGATTAAGACATAACAGGGTAGATTTATAGGTAATAATTTCCAATTAATTTTCTTAATCACTTTTATGCTGTTTTTTCAATCATATAATTGGATATTAATTGGTCCATAATAATTAAAAATTATATATATATATATATATATATATATATATATATATATATATATATATATATCATCGTAAAAAAAAGTTCACTTTTACATAAATTTGTTTAAGTTTACTTAAGTTAAAGCATAATTTTAATCCAGTTCCTTTATTAATTTCAAATACTTATCAATTTTTTTATTACTTAATTCAAATTTAATTACATTACTACCTCAAAATAATATCCTTTTTTTTAAGTTACAAATTACATCAAATCTTATTAAAAGTAATTTTAAATTAGGTAAGTTTTTTTAATTAAGAGTAGTTTTAAATCATGTAGAAGATGTTTATTTTAAGATTGTCTTCTTATTAACATATTGATATTTTTAACTTCTCAATATATTTTAGTTGACTATTGTGAGTATGTTTTTTATTGTGCAAGAAAACTTCGTAACGAAGTTTTCCTCATGTACAGTAAAATTTTTTTCTTTTATATGTTCGAAGGGGGATGAATGGTTTCTACGGGAAATTCTTCCTCCCATATCACATGTTCCTCATTCTTCTTTTTTTATTGTCTAAATTTCAAGCAACGAGACTCTACTCGTGCAGGATCTCGTGAAACGGGAGAGAGCTTGAATTAAGTGAGAAAGCTTCGGTAGAAATACCATACCAAGTAAGGGGAAGTTTAATTCATTCAATATATGAAATTGAATTGTTGGGTACTCTGCGAATAAGGAATAGGAGTAGAGATATGAATTATTTGAATGTATGATTCTAATGAACTGTTCACCGTTTGAATGAAATTCTTGAAATTAAGGATGAATTATATAATAAAATTGTTATTTTTAACTTAAATTGAACATGTTTATGGTTTAATTTTGATTTGGAACTAATTTGGGTGATTGAAATTGAGAAATTTGAAACCTGGATTTTGAAAATGGCATACTGGAGGTGATTACTATTCATATTTTTCAAAGTTTTAAATATTGATTAAATTCTTGAAGTTAAGGATGAATTATATAGTAAAATTGTTGTTTTCAACTTAAATTAGATATAATTCATGTTTAATTTCGATTTGGGACTAGTTTGGTTGTGTAAAACTCGAGTAATTTGAAATCGCCAAAATCTGTAAAATTTGACATCATTCATCGGGCGAAGGAAGAAGAAAGGGATATGGTGAGGATTTTTAAAAAGATCAAGGGTAAAATAGTCATTTTTCATCCTAGGGACATAAATGTAATTTTTGAAAATGTTCAAGGGCAAAATAGTCATTTTACATCCTAGGGACATAAATGGAATTTTTGAAATTGTTCAAGGGTAAAATAGTCATTTTTGGGACATGAAAGGACTTTTTGAAAATGTCCAAGGGCAAAATAGTCATTTTCGGGACATGGAAGGAATTTTCAAAAATGTCCAAGGGTAAAATAGTCATTTAGGGACATACATGGAATTTTAAGAAAAGATTAAGGGCAAAATAGTAATTTAATGATTTCAAAAATGATTTCGAAAATAGTTTCGGAAATGATTTCGGAAATGATTTTGGAAATGATTTTAGAAAAATATATATATAAAGAGAGAGAGAGAGAGAGAGAGAGAGAGAGAGTTGTGACGTGTGTGGGTCAGACTGAGCCTGAGGGCGATGCCCGGAATCGGTCTTGAAACGTTATATATTGGCTAGACTGAAGTTGGAGGGTTGGTGCCGAATCGATCAAATACTATTTTTATTTACCCGAATGAGCCGTGAGGATAGGTGGTCCAGAATCCAAGCAAATGTGAATAAATTTTGTTATGTTTGAATGGTACCGGGGTGGTACAGAGTACATTAGTGTAATAACTATGTCGAAGGATTCCGAATGAGGTCCCGGACTTCACCGATTGGTCGGGTCGGGTAGACTACGAGATCGGGTGGTGAGAAGTCGATGGGGGGATGACTGGTGGCGCGCTCGGAGGGGTACTCCAGTATGAGTGATGAAGAGCGCCGGTAATCCTACTCGTGTGGAGGGTGGTCGGAATGGTACTGCGGGTACCGATCACAATGTGCCCACGGATGATAGCCTCTGAGTTCGGGCATAGTTAGGGTATACTTCCAGAAGGTGTCTTAGTGTGTTGATAATTTCGTAATTGATCATAATATATAATTATTACTTCTATATCTCGTTTTATTATATCGAATTATTTAATACTTACCCCTATTTTTCCATGTGGATGGGACTGCGATGATCACTTTTATGTGGGAGCAGATCGGGAGTTGAGAGATGGTGATGTGACTACCGAACGGCAGGAATAGTTCGAGTGGGATAGCTTCGAGTGAGCTACTTTTACATGTATAATATATAAATAAATTATGTTACTATATTTTGAAGTTCCGTTAGTGAACTGGAATTTCAATATATGTTACAATTACAGTAATATAATGTAAAATAGATGTTGTTATTTACTTGTTTACTACTTTGCGAAGACATCATTATAGTAGCAATTTCTAGGGTCGTTACAATAGTGGTATCAGAGCGGTAGTATCCTTGTAAATCTGTGGGGATGGGTAGTGACCCTATGATAAGTCCGTTATGATTATACTCTGATATGTGAGTGTGTGTGAATGTTTGCTCTGTATTGATGGTTGCATTTGATATAGGATGACACCGCGACCTCCTACTCCTACTCCTACTCCACCGAGTGTAGATGCCCTAGCCGAGGCAATGGAAATGTTGGCGGCTGCCATGCGGCAGCGAGCTACCTACCCGCGAGTGGAGGCCAACTATGGCATCATCCTCTCGCTGGACTTCACCAATCAGAGCAGATGAGACTGACTGAGTTCATGAGGCATAATCCGCCTCGTTTTGGAGGAGATTTGGGTCCAGATGCAGCAGAGAAGTGGTTGCGTGAAGTGGAGAAGATTTTTGAGGCTACCTTATGCCCGGAAGACAGGAAATTGACATTCGGAAAATACTTACTAGTGGATGAGGCTGAGTTCTGGTGGTTAGGGACTCAA